TACATGACATCACATGTCACTTGACTTTTCATGACGTCGTACGGTACCACGTGCTAGTTCATGGCGGGTAACGCAAAGGGGAAGAAGAGGAAGTCGTCCCTTGTTCCTGTACCTCTAGCAGAAGCAAAACTTCTAGGACCAGGTGAAGATGCCTGCTTTAGACATGGAGCCATTAGGAAACTAGTGCTACATAATTTCCTGTAAGTGCACTAACTAACAAGTAGTTGATGACATTCCGCCATTTTTTACACTAGCACTTTTGATAATATTGTCCTGGAGCCATCACCTCAACTTAATTTAATAGTTGGACCAAACGGTGAGCACCTCTCACTTATTCTCTTCTCACTGACACTCAAAAAAATTCCGGATCACAAAAAAAGGCAGCACTGTGGCAGGGGGTGTGGCTAAATAAAAACTATACCCTAGTTTTCAATCCAAAAAACTAAAACTAGGAAAGTATGCTATAACCTTTTCTGGTGCCGTCTTCTTTGTGACCCAATGTTTTTACCTTTTGTTAAGTTAATTTTTGTAGGTACTGGTAAATCAAGTCTTGTTTGTGCCATATGCCTTGTACTCTGTGGCAATACCTCTATCCTTGGACGAGCAAAAGATGTGAGTCTTCTACTTGCGTCATGTGACCTGGTTGACCTCATTTTATTTGTAGTTGAAGGATTTTGTGAAGAGCGGCCCAGCAAAGGAAGGATATGTTGAGATTACAATGTAAGAATATTAAAGTATATATACATGTACATGTAGTCATGTACCCTTGTAACATAGTATTGAATTGTCACGTGTACTTGTACATGTATATCTATAATTGCCTTGTCGTCCCTTTATGCCTACCAAAGCACTTTACTGTGTTTCTGAACCTAATCATGGAATGTGCTAAAGTTTTGAGTTATATGGTCTGTATTTGGCCTTGCTTAATGCTTACTACATGTATCATATAAACTGTACGCGTAGTGGGAAAAATCTACAGAGTTTTATTTTGGCAATTTGCAGTAAATTGATGATATATTTGTCATGCCTTGAGTGAAACGATTGCTAATATACACAGTGTACATGTAATCCTTACAATCATAGAATCACTAATATTAAGAACCACAAAAACCCCACTATATGGTGGTTCCGTGGTTGTTATTTAATTATAATGTACATGTTATGATATAGATGTATATATACATACATGCACAAACTTATTTTTTATTTGATTTATCTCATTTCTTTCTTTCTCTCTTAACTATTCTTTCTCTCAGTCATCACAGAAGTGGTAACCATCCCACCATCAGGAGGCATATATTTAAGGACAGGAATAATTCAAAATGGCTTCTTAATGGAGTTGACAAGAGAGAAATGGAGGTGAGCATTAAATAGAAACAAATGTGTTAATTGTGTGTTTGGTGGGAAAATTTTAGTTTTACAGTATTAGAGTTTTAGGACTGTGCCAACAAGTTTTTGGGGGTTTAATTTTGTGGTTGTGTAATGATTCAGAAAAAACTTCGTATGAAAATAATGCACTTATTTTTGGTAGAAATATGCATTAAATGTATTTTTGAGAAATGTTAATTTGGACGAGGCGACTAGGCATTTGTGCGATAAATACTGCGTTTATACATGTAATTATGTTTAGCTGATATGGTAGTAATGGCACTATAAGTATAAATACATGTAGAACATGTTTTAGTGATATTTTTAAACTGCATGTAATTTGCGTGATTTAAGGGCTACTATGTACATTGTACATGTATTTGTACATGGTGCTATATACATGTAAATTATTTATTTATCTTCAAAAGGTTAAAGATCTTGTGAAGAGTTTGAATATACAACTGGAGAACAAGTGCCAATTTCTGCCTCAAGTGAGTGAAAAAGTAACTGTATAGTTTGA